CTGTGTTTTTATGACTTCTTCTCTAACATCCTGATGCTGACCCACGCTGAAGCGCTAAGCCCGAATCTGATTAAATGCTATTCTGAAACTGCCATTAAACTCTTTCTTTAATACTTAACTCAGAGTGCATTCCTTCTCCAACACTACACTGGTTTGTGCGAGGAACCCCATCTCCTGCCGAGGAGAAGATACAACACTAGCAATCACTTTTGGAAGCTAAGGGACACCCAAATACATACATAAAAAGCACTAACAATAATCATGGCTATTATATTAGGACAATCATTGAGGCATCCTTCTCCTGCTGCAGTTAACTGTCAAACCTGAGACATTTTTCCAAAACCTCTCTTTATGAAGGGCATGTGTCAGCTACCCGTATTTGCTCTCCTTTTCTTTCCTCCATTTTCTTGACTTTTTCTTTTCTTGCTCTCCTTTTGACCTTCCTTTCATGACGAGAAAGCGATTTAAAAAAAAAAAAAGCAATAGGTACGTTGTGGTGAACTGGACCCTGGACACAAAGGGACTGATGAGGGAGCATGGGGGAATGGTTGACTAAGCAGTAGCTGTTAGCTCATTAGCCGCTCTACAAGTAAGTATGTATAAAACATGAAGTGCACTCTCATTTAGTCGACGCTAATTTGACTGTGGCGTGATGGGGTTGAACAAGGTGGGGCGGCCCGAGCAGAGAGGTCGGCGTCATTAAGAATGCATTAGCCAACATTTACCGGCCGTGCTCGCCGTTCCGATGCGTGCAAATACGACGCAGGGAGAATTCTTCACTCCTGTTGAAAAGGTTTTGCATAAATACTGTCATTTTGTTGTGCATGTTTTTGCATTGCCTACACAAACACACAGGCATAAATTAGGCTGTTTGGCAATGTAGGTACGGCACAGCAATAGTTTAGTGCACGGCTGCTCAATCTGTGTGCTATGAGTAAGTAATGTAAGTAATGTTTATTTATATAGCGCATTTTACAGACCAAGGTCACCCAAAGCGCTTTACAATGTTCAGAGTAAAGATATTGTTCCAATCATTCCACACATGATGATGAGAGAAGCGAGTCCAGAACACACTGGACCATCAGCCCCTGATCAACACCATCCATTCACTCTCTCATTTACATTCATACCTATTGCGCATGTTTTTTAGTGGTAGGGGAAACCGGAGCACCCGGAGGAAACCTACGCAGACACGGGGAGAACATGCAAACTCCACTCAGAAAGGCCCTGTTCCGACCGGGATTCGACCCCAGGACCTTATTGCTGAGAGGCCAGAGTGCTATCCACTCAGCCACCGTGCTGCCCAATGAGGACCCCCTGTTGTTTCCTGGTGGAGTCATTTCACGCCTTAATCCGCCATATTAAAGAAATGAGAGATGGTTACGGGTGGGCTGGTGCTAAGCGTACTGAGTGCAGCTCTGACTGCCACCCCCCCAACCCAGAAATGGATTAAGGGGAAGAAAATGGATGGAGATGGTTAGGGGCTACAAGTTTTAGGCTATACCACCGAGATATCCATTGGTATCTGTGTATAGATCATATACATGTATAGATTTCATATTATTAATTTATGCACTTATTTATGTGCTGTTATTATTTATGATTTTAATGCAGTCTACGTTTTGTTCAACATTTTTAGTTGCCTTAAGTATGAATTGTGCTGTACAGATACATGTGCCTTGCCGTGCCTATTTTGCGGGTTGTATGTGGTTGTATTTCGACCAAATGTTTTCTGAACTAAATGAATACATGCTTCAACTACGACCAACAATGAGGATGGCTTGTTTTGTCAGACTGAATTAGCGTAGCAAGAATCAATGTCTATTAGAGTATTATAGTATTAGATAAATTACTATCTTGTTTGGAAGAGCAGCTAGAGCATGTGCTACAGCAAGAAGGTCAAGAAGGGGGGACACAGGTGGTCTACTGTAAAACGTTTTTGGCGCCACACGAAAGAAATCATGAAAATAAATTGAGCTGCACCTCACTATAAGTCTTCTAAATGCAGGAAAAAAGCCGTGTTTTTTAGTCTGGAATATACGGTACTCTAAAAAGTGAATAATAATTAAAACTCATGTGGGGACATCCTGTAATAGCAAAGCAGAAAGAAAAAAAACTGGTTCAGGCACGGGTCTTTTATTGTGGTTGCCTTTTTTTTCCTTTTTTTGTTGTTCTTGTTGAGAAAATCAGATTTCTGGCTTAAATCAAACATTTTAATCTCAAGAGGAAGCAATACTGAGAGTTTGAAACACTAACAAATATGTACTTCACCGCAGTTCCCACACACACGGACGGACACACAAAGCTATTCATTCTCCCATTCAAAGCACTGCAGGCAGAAAAGCCCAGGGCCACGCCGAGCATCACGCCGAGCATCACGCCGAGGATCACGCCGAGGATCACGCTGAGGAGGCATAATTTAATTCCACTCCGGTTCCATACAGGAGAGTGCCGTCCCATTCTATCCAAGCGTCAAAAACACAACAAGCTGACATGACTGACCGTGAGTGGAGAAGTGACCCATAATCAACAACACTTCTGTAAAAAGCATCACAAAAAATGAAAGCCAGGATCGAGAAAAAGAAGCATCTCAACAACTTTAAATGTGAAATAAATGTAAGGTAATTTATGTTGATTGTAATGAAAAATCCAAGTTACATGCTACTGCAGTACCTCGCTTTCTCTCTGGTCATCATGAGAACCCTGCCTTAAGGCCATAAAACACTGCTATTTCAATGTTTCTTGACCGTTGCTGAAATTCCGTGTTGACCCGGGATATCACTGGGAGCACTGTGTTGGGTTTCAGTACCAGGAAAGGAGGAACGTGTCAAGATAAAAAGGTCAAAACGCACTCCCGACTTTCACCAAGCAAGAGACAAACATACAGCAATATAAATATTTTTCATACTTTTTTGTGAGCAATGCCAACTTATAGAGAAAAGAACAGCACGTGCAAGACCCTTAACTTTGACGGTAAGGCAGTGTTTACACGGAGACACTCTTGACAGTAAGACTATAGGGCGAGTATTGGATCTGCCTTTCATTCACCCAACGTCGGTGTTTGACAAACGGCCTCCAGAGTGAAAAAAAAAAAATAAGGTGCAAACTCTCTGGCTGTGATGACCTCACAATTTTTTTTACCTCATCTAAGCAAAAATGCTATTAAGGAGATATTGTTGCCGTCCAAATCACCAGCCTGGGAATGTGGGGAGAGGAGACCTGGGGTTTTTGGTAAAAAAAAAAAAAAAAAAAAAAAACTCTTCACATTCCCTAAACATATTTCTATTAAAAAAATCAACCACAAAATTGGATCCATAGTCCAATTCAATTCAATTCACTTCAATTTATATTTGTAAAGTCCTACATCACAACAGTCGTCTCGGAGGACTGTGTTGCTTCGCTGACACATATCAGAGAATCAAACACTGGAAAATCCATAATAACAAACACAAAGAAGGCATTGGTCCACAGGGGGCGGATGACTAATGTCTGTAAATGTCCTTAAAGGTCTTAAAGATCCTCAGCACTGTCCTTAGGCAGTCGCTAACCATTTTATGGCCTACTTTAAACATGTATTATAATGTCTCAATCCATGCCACAGACACGTTCTGTACTCATAATCACTGCCTTTGACAACAAATCTGAAACGCTGGCTCCTCTTGCTTCTTGAACAATATGCTAATGAGCCCCCCGATAGCCTCACTCACCTGCCACAGCGCCGCACCGTTAAAAACATGTTTGTAGTGATTAAAAGTGCTGCGGTTTTCATGTCAAATGCATTCATCAAAAAACTGCACTCTACTCAACATCATCTACTCCCGTTGAAGCCTTTCTCCTTTTAACCCCCACTGCCAGCCCACCCCCCCTTCCTCCCCAGACTCTTCCACCTTCCATCATTCCCTTCATAACCAAGTGTCAGAACACAGCCACACAGCTCATCTGGGACTAAGGCTATCATTCTAACAGCTTTTTTTTCTCCCGATGCTAGCATTGTCTTGTCCATTTTTCCATTCAGTCGGTGCCTACGGCTGGCACATCGGACGCAGGCCATCCTCGTTCAAATTCTCATCCAATACACATTTATTTTCATACTGTCTCCAGTCGGCCTCTCGGTTTTCACACAGGGGGAGTCGATCCATTTTTGCTTTGGGTTTTTCTGCTTACAATATTATTTACTGCCATTTCTATATATGCTAATAGAGACAGCCACAACTTAAAAAAATATGTATATATTCCTAATCTTCGGATGATTTGATTGAAATCTATGTGTTGAGAGAACTGTGGTCCACAATGTATTCCTACACAATATACAGAGATTATCGTACAACTTATCAGACTTTCAGGTTATAGGCTGAACAAATATATTGATTGATTGAATATTGATCAATACAATTATGTTATGCATACAATGTAGACTATAGTCTGAACATAGAACAATAATACATTTGTAATATATATTATATAGCGCTTTCTGGACACTCAAAGTCTCTTCACATCATTCTTTCACTCCAGACACAATGGTTATATATTACAACTGTAGCCACGGCTGCCCCGGGGCACACTGACAGAAGCAAGGCAACCAGTATGTGCCATTTATTCCTCCGACCACCACCAACCATTCACACACACACCAGACTCATTCTAGGAAATGTGTGGGCAGTGTCTTGCCTAAGGACACAACCACAGTTTGGCACTTTACAGCCACACCCGCCCCACTGTGGCTCCTGGTGTTCCCATAGGTCTTACATCATAGTCCTAACCAGGCCCTGCCCTGCTTAGCTTCAGCGGTCTGACGGGATCTGGGTCTATGGGTTCCTTACTTATTATTAATTGTGAAAATATTAGTAATTATTGAGTCCCTGTCTTAAAATACAAACAAATGTGTCCAAAAAAACATGTCTATACAAGAAAAAAGCCAATTTGTATTTGATTTAGGTAGAATCGTGCACAAAACAAGATCATCAGAAATCTATGAGTTATGGGTAAACAGAAGATCTTACCGATTGGCGATAGCTCTGCCACGCTGGTGATGTAGGGTCCTTCTAAGAACTTGGGCTCGCTGTCGTTGATGTCCTGCACTTTGATGACAAACTCCGACTCTGGCTCCAGCGGGTCGTTGGACTGCCTGTCCCGGGCCTGCGCTCTCAGAGTGTAGAAGGCTTTCTCCTCTCTGTCCAGACGGGCCGTGGCGTGGATGTCCCCTGTCAACTCGTCGATGATGAAGATAGTGCCGGCACCTTCACCAGAGATTGTGTATTTGATATTTCCCTCGCCTTCATCTGAATCTGTATGGATCTAGAAATAAAAAAATATGCGTTTTAGCAGAGGATGGAGTTTATAAGCAGAGCACATACAGTAGACTCTGTGCCCTGGTCTGCACTGGAATCCTGTGGATCTTGGACATGACTTTGAAGCAGCTCTGCTCGTCTCTCTGCGGCCTCGCTCCAACGTACATTTAAGTCATGTTAGTGTCATATGAACCCACTCAGAATCTGAGAAGCACAGGGACTCCTACTGGGACCAAAGAGAACGGGAATATACCTCCTGCTGGGACAGAGAAGTACAGGTACATGTATTGGCACAGAGATTAACCTACAGCTAGAACTCTGAGGAGCACAGGGACTGACCTACAGCTAGAACTCTGAGGAGCACAGGGACTGACCTACAGCTAGAACTCTGAGGAGCACAGGGACTGACCTACAGCTAGAACTCTGAGGAGCACAGGGACTGACCTACAGCTAGAACTCTGAGGAGCACAGGGATTGACCTGCAGTACTGCTAGAACTCTGAGGAGCACAGGGACTGACCTACTGCTAGAACTCTGAGGAGCACAGGGACTGACCTACAGCTAGAACTCTGAGGAGCACAGGGATTGACCTGCAGTACTGCTAGAACTCTGAGGAGCACAGGGACTGACCTACTGCTAGAACTTTGAGGAGCACAGGGACTGACCTATTGCTGGATTTATGAGGAGCACAGGGACAGGCATCATGCCAGCGGCCCAGAATCAGGACTTATAATGGAAATATACAAAAAAGTATTGATTAGAAAAGCAGAACTATAAGACCATGTGTTTAGATTATTAAATTAGTCAATAGCTGCCATTAAAGTGTGTTTTTTTTTTTTGAGGACAGAGAGCTATTGGGATATTTCAACCAAAAAGTCTTCATTTCTCTTTAACTATTTCCAGAAAGGGGACATAATATTGTAAAGTAATGGGCAACTCTGCTCTATTTATTTTCTCAAGTGAACCCAAATGACACACAACAAGAGATCAAGAAAGGAGCGGTTGAGGCGAGAGACGAATAATCTTCCCTCTGAACAACTCCATATTTCATCCTGTGGATTATTTGGAAGAAAACAGGCAACATGTGTGGATTATGTGACGACCACCCCTGCAACCTTTTCCACACTGCTGTGTCAAATTAAATCACAATGAGTGGTTTGGTTGACCAACAGCATGGCATGAACACACATACAGGATTATGCCTGGTCTTACCACACCATCGTACAAATTTCATTTCCTACGAAGGTCTGAATATGCTCCATCCAACTCCGTTAACAGGAGGGAGGGGTTTACTCCTTTTGCAGATTTAAAAGACTGGATCTGAATTTACCGTGACGTATGTAATGTGCCCGAGTGAGTTGCTAGCATTTAGCCTCACTTTAGCCATCTCCTTTGCCACTAACGGAGCCCGTGGGGAGTAGAGCCACAACATCTTTGCAGCAATGACATTTGGTAAACAGTCCTTTTGCTTCAGCTTCAATTTCTTGATATTTGGATCCGAACCAGAACAGATTACCTTATCGCATTCTCCGCCATCGCTAAACTGCAATTCGCAAATTTAGCGCAAACTCTTGACATACCTAACACCTGCCTACAACACCCACCTCCCCGCTCGCTGATTGGTCGGATGGGATACAACCGAGAAAACTGCAGCCAATAAGATCAGACCCAGACGTACATGTAGGAAATGATAACTGACCCGAGTTTATGGATGGCTAAATCCAGGGTAAGGATTATCTCAAAAAGGTGAATTTGTATGTATGTTTTTTTGTTATTGGTTGCTTTTTCTGATATTCTTAAAGCATACACGACCATAATTACAAGGAGTGTTTTTGTTTACTTGTCTACGTCCTTGGATGAGTTGAGTCTGAGGACACAGATTCACGCTACCGCTGAGAATATGCAAGGACTTTTATTGTTCAAACTCTCACTCTCCCAACCAGTGAAACTTCTTTTATTATAGCTGAAATATTGATAGCGCCAAAGCATCTGGCAGTATATTTTCCCCGACTGTCTGTGTATTTGTCTGCAGGATGGATCGGGGAGGAGGGGGAAAGCGACAGATAAAAATGGGAGCGCAGTATACGGAGGAGGGGAGGTAATATCAGAGCACCGGCCTGCATTATTCCAGTATTTTACGACAAATACTTAATGAAACCCCCGCAAGGGTGATAGAAGCCTGTATTTAATTATGGCTTTATAAAATATTAACCGGGGAAGGCCCAGGCGATCTCCCCTCCCAGTCTATTTTGCCGGATTGAGCCACACTTACAGCACACAGACAACTCAGCATTATCATTTCAGATGGAAGTGGTGAGGCAGGAAGATGGGATGGAGAGGAGAGGAGGTTTAGTGCTTAGTAAAGAGGCAAAGGGGAGATTGAGACCAGAGAGCAATACTGCGCCTACCAGAGGAATGCTCCAGGCTGAGTTTACACGGAGACAATGTGGCAGTAAAACGGTATAGTTGGATGTCGGTTTCTACCAACCGTTCATACGAAGACTGTGTTCCAGGGGGGTGAAAACGTTAGTGTTCAGATCCAGCCTGCAGAGTGGGACAACTCAGATACGCTGCACAGCAGGGAGCTCTTTCACACCCGCGAGAGGGGAAAAGGTGTGAAATCCCCCTCTGCTCTGACCCCCACCTCCGCGCTGCTCCTGCACGTAAATTTGGACATGCGCAGTAGCGGAGAACAAACATCAACAACAATGGCGGCGGTCACACTAACTAGCTTCGTGGGCTTCCAGCGCGGCACAGAGGATAATTCTACTTCTTCGTTCGTCCAAACGAGACCACGCAAAGCTCTAGGTTCAGTTCCCATTTTCACAGCTGCTGTTAAAATGCAGAATGATGTTGGTACGTTCTGAGGGTCTGGCACAGTAAGTGAATATACTGCCGAGAGGGGGGCTGGGCACGGGGCTGGGGGTCGTGTGAGTGTTGTAAAGTTTCTCTGCCCACTACTGGCCGGGCGCTAGAACTGCATCGTTTTTCAACCTCATGTGAATGCTGAGAAATTTGCATTAGGAGCCAGGTCGTTTCTGTTAATAGCCTGGAAACGTCTGCGCAGTGTCTCAGTATAAACAGGGCCCCAATCACATTAGGCCAAACTGTACCGCTGATAAGAACCGCCTTTGTTAAAACTGAAACGTTGTGTAGTTATTATGTATGATATTTCTGGATTATATTCATATTTCAAGGGTTGAGGTTTGGAAAATGTCATTGCAAACACCAACAAAGCTGACGGAGTAACAGACCGCTGCAGCAAAATGCTTCAATGACAAGGTTTACATGACTCAACAATAACATGAAGAGTTCAAAACGAGAAGCCAAAAGTTGTCTCCCCACAATAAAAAAATATATACATAAATCACAAATCTTGATAAAACATTTTGAGGCAGTTAATACAGGGATAGTTCGAGCAATGGCCTGTTGAAGTTTACTAAAACATGAAGCCATTTACATTTGAGAAAGTATTATAAAGAATACCAGTTACACCATGGTAAAAAACGGTTAGAGAAGAAAATTTGCACAAAATATCCAGTTTAAGTTGACCTGGGCCATGGACCGTTGGGATTCTCTTTAACAATGTTTGAAATGACTTTGATGGCCTAATTTGGGGGTTGCGTGAAGGGCAGGGTGTGCAGAGTGTGGGTGTAAATCACATACGAGTGTCTTTTTTAACAAGACAGCTGTGATGGCCAGTCCGCAGGGAAGAGAGAGGGCCTTCACCTGAGGGGGGCGGAGCGAGGAGGTGGAGGCGGTGGAGGCGGTGGAGGTGGTAAATGCAAAGATGACCAGTGCCCTTCTGCTGACAGACAGAGGTCCTTGGATTTGCATTAACACTAGGACCGCCGTGCTCTAAACATACCTTGCACCGCCCCCTGCGGTCAGTTGACTGCTATGTATTTTGCGCTGATACAGCCTTTTGCCAAATTGATTGTTCACTAAACCAGAATTTGTTGTTGCAAGGAAATCGTGATCATAATGAAACTGTGTAAATTATTTGTCTAAATATGCTAAGTAATTGTAATTCCAGCCGAAATAAAAAAAAATTACGAAGACTTTTCTGGCTAGATTTATTTTGTAACTTTGCAAACACGTAAAAGGTCGGTCACTATATGTTAAATTTGACTCAGTAACAATATGTAAATTCAAACAATATAAATGATAGTTTAGAGCACGGGACCATAACGTCTTCGCGCTGCTATATGCGTCTACTTCTTACGTCATCTCCAGACTGTTTTCTCTTTCCAGCCGAAATCACCGTGGGAAATATTATCTAGATAATAATAATAGTATTCGTATTGACACAAGATCATCAGCTAGGCTACCATCGTCAATGTACAATCTTCAATTTTACACGGGACACGTTAGAAAGACAAATATATATATATATTTGTATTTATTTGAGACAAGCAGTGCTCTTTATGATCAGAAGAAAATTATAATCATTGCCTTGCAGTGCGCGCTGTGCAGAATAACACACAGTGTTATCTGGATGAAATAAGAAAGATATCCTTATTGATATGATGAGGGCCGCTTCTGCCCCACAGTCGCTCTCCTCCTGCAGGTGTCCGCGGGTGACGAGAGGCCTCACAGCGCTCTATCTGCACTCTGCCTTGATAGTTCATCTAATTGTTCTATTTTATTGCGATATTGTATTCTGCTTTATTGCCTTCTTCTATGTATAAATATAAGAATGTAATTGATGATGAATGAAAAGGCAGAATGGAGCAACAGCGCGCACACAGACACCTGCGTATGGCTGGTATTACGCGGGTCATGTGCGTTATTGCTTCTGGACTTGTTCCAACACTGCTGTCCGTGCCGTGAATGCACTACTGGTTTACATTCAGATTTAGAATATTATAGGTGTTCTCCCCGCTGTGACATCTCACCTCCGTCAGACTGTTCTCATTCAATGTCTTGAATCACATGTCTGGGCTTCATACCGTGTACTTGCAGCTCTATTCATTCTGTACTCCTCTCAATTCAAAACTCTTTCTCT